GTGAAAAGTCATAGTGATTGTAATATGAAATACGAAGTCCTTTGATTAAAGCATAACTCTATTCCATAGGTCAGGACCGAATGGAAGCACTTTGTTTACCTTCAATTTGATTAATTCTGAGGATTCCAAAAGGGAAACAAAGCTGATAAATATTTTCAAAAAAAATCAAATTAGCACATCTGATAACTAATTGATCCATATCTTCTGAAAATAACCACAAACATTTAAAACTGAATATGGAATAGGTAATTGGAAGACAAAGTTAGAGTCCAACCAGAACCATTCCTTGAAGTAACTTAGAAGAGCCTTTTCTCCATTTATAGAGAGAAAAGGCTATATATAACAAATAAGCTAATAAAACTAATCAGAACTAAACTGATGCAACAGATATAAGAAAATTATAGCCCTCCCTATCACAAGCAAGTTTGCAATTTTGGTAAAAAGAAGCTGAATAGATTATGTTGATGTTGAATAGTATATTTTCTTAGAAATGCCTAACTAAATTATAGTTCTGGGTGAGCACACTAAGAGGGATTATGTGATTATACTCTAGGCACCATTTCTACTTATATTTATATTCTGTAATGCTTAATACCTAAGCATATTGTTTGAGTGTTGACAAGTTACCAATAATATTACTTTGTCCTTTTACTGCACCTCTCATGAGAGGATCTTTAAGAGCTTTACTCACATTAGTGTGTTATTCCCAGGATTACTCTTCCTGTTGTATAACTGAGGAAACTGCTTCCCATGGATATAAGTAACTTGTTCAAAGGCTCAAGTGAAGTTTCTAATGTGACTACAAAGCCGCTCCTGATTCCAGGGCTTGACTGTTCCACCCTCAAGATTAACACTTGAAGTAGGCATTCTGTGATGGCTCTCACCCAGAGCATGGTCATGTGGACCCCATTACATTAAGACTTTGTGAACATACATGAGGGATCTATTTTGTAGACTCCATACAGAAAGGGTTTGCTGAGCAAATGAAGTAATACAGATACATAGAAAGTTTAACTTGCTATATCGAAAGACTGCCAAGCATTTCATGTTCATTAGCTTATACTCAATATGTTGATTATAAAGAAGCTATTTATTCACAAATTAAGGTGCATATAATTAAAAAAAATTATTGGTACATGGTTTGAGTCCATGATAATTAGTATTTATGAGAAAGTAATAAAACCTTATTTATTTAAATATATATTTACCCATTTTAGTTTTTTTATGAATTTAGATTAGGAAATGGAATATGTGCATAAGCAGTCTTGGAAAACGAAATCACTAAATATTCTTTGTATCTATAGAAAAGTGCAATTTCAATGAGAGTTTTCAAGGGAGAGATGGAGAAAAGTACTGTGGAATTGTGAATGCAGCGAACCTAGTAGACAAGAAAAGCCATTCTTCACTAAGTATTTCCAGTGTCTCTGCACTTCAGTTAGCAACTTTCTTCACAAACAAAAACCAGTGATGTTCTCTCTGGGGTCCTTTTGGGTTGTGCCATGTAATGAGAGGCCGCCAGTGCTCTGGCACTCTGAGCAGGCCTGTGCAGTCGGAGCAGGCCTGGCCTGGCTCGGAATGAGGGTAGCTGCAGTTCTCCACATGAACCTTTCGTGGCTCATTTTTCAGGAAGGGTTAAAGGTTGTAGTGGCCTCATTTCCCACCAGCAAAGTCAAAACATGCCTTCTCCCAAGAGAGTACGGAATACCAGGTACAATAGCCTGCATGTCCAGGCACGTTGATTCAGCTATTTTCATCGAAACCCCATGCGTGGTTTTGTATCTCTTTGTGTTGAAGGCAGAAAGAGCTATTATGGTCCCTGCATGAATAATCTATTATTTTAAAATATAAATTTTCCCATTACTCTGTCAGCCACAAATACCTTCTTTGCTAACATGCTGTTCAGAATCACCATAATCCGAGGAGGGCTGTATCATATCCTCTGTTCACATGATCTAAGCAGCATTTCTGTATGACTTTGGGGAATAAAACAGGAAAGGGGGGAAAGTATTTAAAATAGAATAAGCTTAATGGCTTTTTCACTTATAGTTTCTCTAAACACTTTACTATACTAGGAGGGGGTAAGTACTAACCTTTGGTGGAAAGGGAAGCCTATTTGTAACAGAAAGAAAGTGAGAAATATTTCTGAAGCATTTTGACTTTCTTTCAACCTCTTAAAAGACTTAAAAAATATGGAATAATAAAATAAAAACTCAAAGGCTGCCAATGTAGTTCTCACAACAACTTTTGTGCCAAAAACTAAAATTACTGCTATTTATATTAATAGTTCCACCTCACTACCAAAAAAAAAAAAATCTGGTGGTCAAAACAACACATCTACTTCCTCTACTTCAAATTCTAGAGTTAAGGGGAGCAATAAAATTGTAAATTATTAAAAGAGAATTTCATTGTATTTGGTATGTCTAACCCTAAAAGAGACTTATCTTTAGAAACGAGAAAGTCTGGATGGTTACACGGCATTCTATTATCTTTAATCAAACTGCGGAATACTTTCTAGATACAGCATACCCTACTACTACCTTTACAAGTTATTTTCCAGATATGTCAGCTACTGATTTATATTTGATGCTATTTTGTTATATTTTTAAAACATTGCACTAAGAAATAGCATGGAGCCTAATAGACAGAAACAAGGATATTAACACTAATAAAAAATGTACATGTGAGAAAAATAGCTTTAGTAGCAGACTTGAAACGTGATGAGTGAGTGGTAGGAGAGAATGTAGGCAGTGAGCCTCTTTGAAAACTGGTGCAATTGTCCAGACAAATGATAAGGAGGTCTCAGACCAAGACTGTGGAGATGGAGTTGAAATACTTCCCCAAGAGGTGGTATTGTTCGTAGGCTGACCTGGGTGTTCTAATTCCCCTTCTATCATTTCTATGGGAAATATTGTTTCTATTGGGAGTTATGTTTTAAGACATAGAGGAAGGAGGGACCATGTCTGTCTGAAAGATGGCTCTCACAACTGCCTCAGCATGTGGTGGATCAAGGAGTTTAGAGTAGAGGGTCAGGGAATACTTCTTATCTCCCCAGCTTTAGGGAGGGGCTATGTCTCTCTACTTCTGGTATAATATTCATGTGCAAAGGGCATTTTTGAGACATTGTTTCCTCACTCTGGAAGGGCCTGCATTTCCCTGGCTCTTGCCCTATATGGACAGTAGCTTTGGGTGTCAACTTGAGAGCCCAGCTGCCATCTACTTCTCATCAGCAATGGAGCATGGATGGCAGGAAGGAGAATGGCCCCAGAGCTTGTGGGACAAGACTGATGCTAAGGTCAGTAAGGGGTCAGCATGATACCTGGAGTCAAAGTGACCCTCTTGGGGCCACGCCTTCTTAAAAGCTCTTCCCAGCCTGGTATGGCATGGCCACCTTAGAGCAGCGTTTTTCAAAGTGGGTGTCTGGTATCTGAAACACCTGGGGAAGCCTTGCTAAAGCGACCAATTCCCAGATCTTAGCCCAGATGTTCAGAGTCAGACACTCTGGAGGTGGTTTTTACAAGCTCACTCAGACAAATCTGCACATGAAAATTTGAGAATATTGTCTTAAACTTACTCACATTAACAGATTGTAACCAGTTTAAACACTAGTACAGTGGCGACAGCATTATTTCTGTCAGAATTCCACCTGAGCAATTAGGCTCCTGTGTGAGCCTCCTTTTTCCTGATTATTGGCACAGGGCAAGAGTCACACAGCATGAGCGTGGCTCCATGCTCAGGTGGCTTGGAGAGTGGGATCACCAGTGCTTTTTAAATAGGTTCTCACAGACTTTCTTGCTTATTTTGACTGTAACTTTGTTTGATGCTGCCGAGCAAGATTGTGCATATAACTACAGCCTACAGCTTTACATTTCTTGCTCTAGAGCAGTGGTTCTCAACCTTCTGGCCCTTTAAATACAGTTCCTCATGTTGTGACCCAACCATAAAATTATTTTCGTTGCTACTTCATAACTGTAGTGTTGCTACTGTTATGAATCATAATGTAAATATCTGATATGCAGGATGGTCTTAAGCAACCCCTGTGAAAGGGTCGTTCGACCACCAAAGGGGTTGCGACCCACAGGTTGAGAACCGCTGCTAAGAGGGATTTGTTGTAGAGGCACCAGCCAGAAAAGAGACGAGAGAATAATGCTGAGGCCATCTTCAGGGAAAGTGGCTCAGAGAAGGGAGGGAAGGAAGGATGCAGATGGCAGGTTGGGGCAAGGAGGATAAAATACAACACAAAAGAGACAGCAAAAACATGACATCAGCACAGGGTTCACATTACAACATAAGGATTTATATGAAAAAGGTAATCTCAAGAAATAGAAATAATTATTATGTTATCATGATTTGAAAAAATAGGCATTTATCTGGTATTACTTCTACCTATTTTCTTCTCTCTCCACTCCTCACCACTAGCCCCAAACAGATACTTCTGTTTTATGAAAACAAAATTTTTAAAATCCTGACTTGATCTTCATTGTTGTCTTGTAAATTCCAGATCGCTTTCTCAGTCACAAACACATTGCTATCTGTGGTTAAGTGGGAAACTACTGAAATGAAAAAAAAAAGTATAATTAGATAGGAATAGGATTCACAAGAATAAAAATAGGAATGACATAATTTGACCTGTGAAAATGGATTGTGGCTATATCAATACCTGACTGTATTTTAGATTAAATATTTAGATTTCCATTTTCCCTTCTTAATTAAAAACAAAACCAAAACCAAAAAAGGCACACCCCTGCACCTCTCTACCTTAGGCATTTACAGGTTTCACACCAACCTCACCTGAGTTGATGCTCAGAACAGTCATGCAGAGCAGGGAGGGAGTCCTTATCTCAGTTGGGCAGATGGGGAACCTAATAGCCAAAAAGATTAAGTGACCCACTGGATACTTTCAGATCAGTAAGTGGAAGAAGGAGCATTCCAGCCCATTTTTCTGGTCCACAGTTCAATAACCTGTTCTCAAATATGCCGTCTTTTCTCTTGTCTTAATATTCAGGAGAAGATAGATATTCAAACTGCTTTTTACTGGAACATCCATTATGTGTTGGTCTGTTTATTGGAACAAAACAGAAATTGTGCTCTAATTTGTGGAATCTTGATTCAGGAAATTCAAAGACGTGAAGGTAAAAATTAGCAAAAAATTTGAGTTGCCCTTTCTTCCTCTCATTTTTTTCTATAGGTGTCTCAGGTCAGTTGAGGACAGATGCCCTTTCTTCTCCTTCTCTTTGGCTTTGTGGAGGGCCTATCCTTCCTACGGGCCCTTAGGCCTGGGAAACGCAGTAAAGACTGGACGTGCTCAGCTTCCGAGGCTTTATTGCCAAGGTTGTAAAAGCAGGTGAGGCATCACCCCCTCCACCGGTAGTCAGTGGGAGATTATAGAGGATCAGAATATTTAAAGACGTTTCTTGGGGTTTTAGAAAAAGTGGAGAGGAAAATGTCTTAATATAAGTGAGTAGAATCAATAGGAAAAGCTTGGGTTCTAGCAGCCCAACCAATTAAGTCCACTTGCCTTCACTCTATCAAAGGACTCCTGATGGAGGGAGGAAGAGAGGATGGTGGAGGCATTGGGGCATTTGGCAGAGGAAGCAGTGAGTTGGCTGCCCCCTCAGTCAGCGTGCCTTGGGGGAGTGGGGCACAGCGACACCTACTGAAAGCAAAACTGAGGCTTGGGTTCATGCCACACATGCTGGACTCCCTCAAAAGACATTTTCAACTGACAGCCGAAGCAACCACAACAAGTACATCACAGTGATTTTCTTACTCCACATCTTGAATGGTAGAGCCATTTTGTTACTAAGCAACAAAAAGGCTAAGGGTTTGTGAGGTCTGTATGCACAATCTAGCAAGACAGTTCTAAAACGCAGACCTGAAGAAGTGTGCTAATCTACCAAGAAGCTGGTTGCAGAAGACAGTTTTGGTACGAGTTTGTTCTGGAGGCTTCCTGCAGGCTCTTTTCACTCTGTCTGACTTAACCGTATGGTGGCCTCATATAAGCTCTTGAAAACCAAGTGACTTTACTCAGTGTCCTCCTAACTGTGGCTCCTTTGCAGGTGTGTGTGTGTGTGTGTGTGTGTGTGTGTTTCTGTCTGTCTGTCTGTCTATACACATGCATGTGTGAGCCTGACAGTAGTATGTGGGAGGAGATTGTCAGTCTCCCATATCTGGGTAAGGCCTCATCACCTGGTGACGAGACTAGTTTCCACAAGGCACAGTTAATAACTTAATTTCTCCAGTGTCAGGAAGCTTGCCTCTGAACTAGTGCTTGGTATTCATTGCGTAAAGGACCATATGAAACATTATGCTGCAGGAAGACTTCAAAGGAGTTTCATTGTTGAGATTCCTAAAGGGACAGTCTCTTAAATAGTTTCTTAATTATGAAACTATTTTTCAGACCCACTTTACTCTTTGGTATGTGAAGTAAGTGTGTGTACTGATTACATATGGCGAAATTGAAAATTGGATGTTGCTGGAGCTGTAGTTGCCTATGTTTCTGAGTGAGTGCCGTCCATCTCAGATGGGAGGCTAGGGAGCTGGGTGTACCCTTTGCATATGTGTCTGGCATGTGTTGGGTGATGTGGGATGATGGAGGCAGTTGTAGGTGTTTGGCAGTTTGGCCCTTTGGGAAACACACCTGGAAACAACCTAGTTGAATTATCCTCAGTAGCTGTTTATGTGTGTGTAAATGCCTAATGCCTGAGTAAGAAAAAAAAGAGCCTTAAGTAATTTCTGAAGACCTTCTTCCTTTTTCTCTGGAACATGTAACCCAATCATATCCTATGTCATATGTGTTCAAGGTAATCAATACTATATTTTATCACTTCCAATGAAAATATTCGATTTTTGCCTAGAGTTATTGAGAAGAGAAAGGTATATATAAATTGAACATAAGCAAAATTCTATATAAATGAATATCATTTTAAGAACAAGATCTATATAATAAAATAAGTATCTAACATAGTCAGAAGTCTATACTAATGCTAATTGTTAAGGTGGACATAATGAATTACCTGGTACATTGAAAATAAATCAACAGGCACATTTTTGTTATGAGAAATATTGCTGTTTCTATGTGACATTTATACTAGCAGCTGTATTTGAAATCCTAATCAAAGTTCAGTTTTGTTTAGGCAATGTGATGATTTCTCAAATTTGGAGTTTTATGACATTTTAGTTGTGGTTGATGATGACTATCGGTGCTTGTCTGGAAATGGGTCTGCCAGGTCACAGGACTACTGTCGGGCAGGAAGGATCTATAGAGGTTGCCTGGGGTACCCTAAGCTCCACCCCCAAACAACTCATGTTATAGGTGAAGAAATAAAAATCCAGAGAGATGGATTCCCCTACCTAAGGTCACATAGCATGTTAGTGAGTGAACCAGGAATCAGGCTTCCAGGCATGGTCAGCCTGGTTCACCGCTGCATCAGTAGTGAGCACTTCCCCTAGGGACCCTGATGAGTCCTGAGGAAGGCACCTCTTTCTCCCTAGGGCCTCCACAGGTTGCAGTGCCCCTTCTTTAAGTGGATCTTAGTTGGTAGCAACACCTGGCCCAGGAATGAGGGGGAAGCAGGAAGTAAGAGGAGAAAGGATGGGAGGGGGATGTTGATCATGGAAGAGTGTATTGTGTCTCTAAAGTGAGATGGACTTTCTTTTGTGACCTGCAAAGGCTCTCTGATGGCCAAAATGCTTTGAGCAGCAGATGGCATCATTTGAATATGCATTCAGCCTTTCAGTGTGGTGCCTTTCAGAAACAATACAAATTGGGATGAAGAACTCTGATTTCATTTCTGTTTGAATGCATACAGAGGCAGGAACTTGGGTCTGCCTATGAATTTTTGCCTTTTATTCTTATAAGCTTCTTACCAAGAGCAAACCACATGACATCATACATATAGAGGAAAGTATCTATACTTGTCACTCTGAAAAATAATTGTTACATGATAAGACATTTTAACATAAAAATTTCATAAAACTAAATTTCAGGGTTTGTTTTTCTTTCAGCTTCAATGGCTATCTCTGTGATTAGTGAGTTACTTCTACTGAGCCCCTTAGAGAACTCATAAATATTGATAAAAACGGTTTAAATGTCTATATATCTGAAAGCTAACATAATTTTTCTTCAGCTACATAAGGTAGATATGAGATAAATATTCTATTTGTTGAAAGAATAAATGGATGAATGAGGGGATGCTACATTAACAGAGATTGAGCTACTTTAAGAAAACATTTAGCAACATTAGTTTGACATTATTTGGTAGACACAGTAAGGTACAGTATGCATTGCTAACCTCATTAAGTTCCAAATAAAACTCTATACTTTACACCATTTCTACAAGAGGTTTTATTAGATTTCCTTAACTGGTGTCATATTTTTTGGCCAGGGCATTTTTAACCAGCTTCACATAAATAAAGTTCTATTTTGTCACCATGTCATAGTAAAATAAACTGCTTGTACTATGCATCCCAGCCAAAGCCAGAGCAGACGGGGAAAGGATATAAATGTGTCAGTATTCGGGGAGAGAAAACACATAAATGCACATGGCGACTCTTAACTCTGAGGCTCAGCATGATCCTAATTCATTTGGGTGACATTTAGAAAGCTACTCCCAACATAAATAATATGTATATAGTGGGGGGTATCTCTGACAGACACAGAGTTGAAAAAAAATGGCCTGAAAGAATGCCCATCAGATTTTACAGGTGCTCGGAACCTTAATGTACAGTGATGGATGACCTTTTTGCGAAGGTTGACATAACGTTGAATGGAATGTTTTGTTTATATCTGGTACGACTTTATTGACCAGCACCAAAGGGTAGGACCAAGCTTGGTTTTGAACTACCTCTACTTTTTTCATTTTGTGGAAACTGTTTCTATGTCCCACCCCGTCACAGGCAACAGTTCTTAAGTTGTTTCACAGATATCATTCCACAAGATGGATTACCCTCTTTAAAAATAGTCTTAGGCCTAAGTATTCATTACCAGAGGTGAAATTGTTGATGGGTAAATGTGAAAAATTAAGTAGAGAAGGATTTTTACTACATTTATCACACACCTTTAATCTTGGTTTGTCATCTCTAATGTGCCCACAGTTAAAATTCCCATGATTAATGGTGAGTTGCTACTGAGAGTGCCTATAGATAAAAATCACAAAACTCAGAAATATAAGAGACCAACAAGGCAACCAAGCCACCTGAATGATAGCTTAGACTTGTCCTCATGGTGCTCTTTCCCATGTGGATGGAAATAGTTATAATGAAAAATAGGGAAAACTTTTAGTATCAATCCAAGTGATAATTTCCTTTCATCACTTAGTAGGAAATTGCCATTATACAAAAGTAATCCCTTTGGGAAATTTTTCTAAGTACTTAGCCATTATCCCTCATTATTTTAGGGTTATGTCATTATTATAACCTCTCAATGCTGTGCATTCTTCTTTGTTGATGGTTATACCTTTCAATTTATTTATTTTTTTCCATCTTCAGTCACTTTTAATTATTTTGCTCATTTACTCATTCAATAAGTATTTTTGAATGCCTACATTGTACAAAGTTTTAAGGAGGGCAAAAAGGTGCATTAGGCAAGGAACTTTCAAATGGCTCATAAAGTAGTAGATAAAACAGGTGCAAAAATGCCCCCAATATAAGGTAGAATGAGATCCATCTCTTTAGAAAGTTACAGATAGAGTTGGGAGGTACAGATGCAGAAATAATCATTAGTTCTTACTGGAGGGCCCTGGAAAGACTTTCTAGAATAGGCCTTAAAGGATGCCTAGAATTCTAGCCTTCCGGGGACAGGATGAAGTAGAAAAAAGGGATTACAGGCACAAGGAAAATGAAGACATCTACAGATGAAGGGAAGGAAGTGAGAAGTGAAGAAATCAGAAAATAATGGAAACATAAGTTGGGACCAGATCAGCAAGGACCTTGAGAAGCCTGGCCAAAGATTTCAGGCTTTCTTCCATAGTCAGTAGGTAGGAATTTGAAGTCTTTAGCAGAAACCAACTTGATCAGAACTGTACTAAGGAAGAGCTCTCTAGGATGAGGTGAAGGGTGAAGAGACCAAAGGTGACAGGGCTAGTAGGGAGGCCTTGAGGAGAGAGTATTCCTGTTAAAAACAAAACAAAAC